TGGGGAGCCGGACGCGGGCGGCGGCGGCGGCATACGGTTGCCATGGCAACCGAGGGCCGCGCCGCGGGGGGAGAGCGGGGGCTTGGAGTCAGCTCCGGGGAGGAGCCCGGGTGCGGGGAACAGGGAGGCGCGAGGGTGCGTCTGGGAACGGAGGCAGACGGTGACATTGAGGAGGACGGATGACTAATTGAGCCCCGGTAGTGCCGATGAGCCCTGCGCTGCAGCGGCCAATCCCCGTGGCAGGACGCGTGCCCGTTCTCTCGGCGCAGCGCGTCGATGCCTGCTTTATTCCGAGAGAATGCTGGTGGCGTCAGAGGAAGGAGCAGCGCCCGCTCTTTAAAGGTCGCTGGTCCAGCCCCTCCCCCGCCGCCGATCCAGGCATCCCCCGCTGGCCCGGCCGGACGGCGCGTTTGGAACCTAAGCCACCTCTTTCGGGGGGAGGAGGGGGTTCACCAGTAAAACCGAATTTGCAATCTTTCACACCTCTTTCTTGCCATTTTCCGAATAGGATAGAAACCGAATCGTTTAGTAGATATAATTTAAATGTAAACTGCTTTTAAAATGGCATTGATTTCAAATGAATTTTGACCTGTAATACTTCTTAAATAATCGTTTGTGAACTCGCCATGACTTGTCTCAGAGATTCAGTATAGTCTAAACTGAGGTTATAAGCACGGGCTTCTAAAACCCACTTCTTACAGCTCTAGGCGTGCCGCTACTCTTGGTAGCCCATAACCTAGGGCGATTTACCCGCTCTGATGCTCAACTTTAATCTGCAAAATGGAGAGAATAGTTATGTCACAGAGCTTATGAGAAATAAAAGCATTGATAATGATGAAGTGTTCTAAACCAAAGCCTGGCATTTAACAGTAACTTAAATATTAGTTCTTTAATCCATCGTGGTAAGAATTAGAAGAGTGGGAGGCTGGAGGTGAAGGTGTCATTTGACTGAAGAGGGAGTTTTTCTGTAGTGATGAATAAACTGCCTTGCTTAGGGGTTAGGTTACAGAGGCATATGCTTTTGTCAAAACTCTTGAAATGCTTCTCAAGATTTGTGCATTTCACTGTATGTAAATTTATCTTTCAAAAGAACATGAAAATATTAGCTATTATTATTAGAGCTGTAGACTCTAAAAGAGACCATAGACATTTTTTAAGTCCAGTCTCCAGAATATGCAGATGAGGAAAACGAGGCCTAAGGATTTAGGTAAATGGGGGAGGAAGGAGGGATTACTGACCCTGTCCTTTTCTGGTAATAAATGCCTCTCAAGAAATTACAATTGAAAATAACAAGCTGCTGTGTCTGTCGTCCAGTTTTCAGTCGAGGTCACCTTGCCCACAGAGATTTTGTTGAAATTGACTTAAGTCCCTTTTCTAACTCCAGTGGAAGACCAGTGTTCTCTCCAAGATTGCATATTCCCTGGGGGTTTACAACCTCAAGGGCACTTCTGCCCCTGAGTTCTTGCTTTCTTTGTACACTTAGACTCCCCCACATCTCCCCTCCTGCAACTCTCTTCTCTCCTGCTGGCACACAAGGTAGAAATCAAACCCTTTTCTTTGGTTGTTTGTATAGCAAACTCTCAAAGGTTTGGAGCAACTGAGGGGTTTTAAATGAAGGATGCAAATAACCTAAAATTATAACTCCCTGCTCTTAAAGGTCCTTCAGTATCCCAATGGCTTTGGTATCTACTGATCCCCATTCTCTTTTAGAATTAAATGCAACTTCCCATCTCCAGTATCTCTCTGGTCCCATCTCTCCTGTCCTCTTTTCTCTCCTTACATAGTACTTAACCTCCATCTCCCAATCTATACGTCAGGGCCACTTTCTGTTCTTAAACTGTTTATCAAAGTATTTTCATACACACAGAAAGTACCTGCCAAGAGGAACTGTAGTGCCAGATATTAAAATAATAGTCTTCACCCCAGAGTATATCTGCATATTCTGCTTGATTCAGCCCAGAATATAGTTACTCAGTAAGTATCAAGCTGCTTCTGCACATGATACGTCCAGGCTACCTACAGAGGAGGTTCCCTTATGAAAACTACTTAGTGTAAGTGAGGAAGCAGGTGATAGTAGCTGGAATCTGATGTCTGCAAGAAAGAAAAGAAACCAACATCTACATGACTGTAGCTTATATTGTGCAGAAGAAATGACAGCATTCAAACAAGAAAATCCAGAACAAAACCTGAAGCAATCCTCACAGAGGCAACACCCAGACCTGTCGCCTCTAGCAATTTGGTCACAAGTCTGCATATGTAATAAGGCTATAAATAGATTCTCCTTTACTCCTGGGGAAGATAATACTGATCTGCTCCCGGCTGAACACATGTTTAGTCAGGATGACAGGTTCATCCGATCCATCCATCCCGCATCTGGTTTCCCTTGTTAACAGTCACTTGCGTTTGCAAGGCAGCTGGCTGGGGTTGCAGAGCAGCCTAAACAGCCATGAAGAGGTCTCCAAACACCAGGCCCAACTCATAACCCTCCTTGCTTTCTATAGTCAGGAGCCCAGGGCGTCGACCAAGCAGGACAAGCCCCTTGAGGAGAATGGATGACAGCAGGAAAGGAAACAGCTGCTTTGGAGTAAGCTGTAGGAAAACCGTCATGCACCGGAAGACCGTGAGCCAGTGGAGCGCAGCCTGAAAAAGCCCGGCCCAGCTCTGGATGGCTGGGAAACCATGGGGACTACCCATCAACTTTAGTTGGGTGTTTTCACTGGATGCTGTGTACCAGTTCAAGTGATAGTTAAACACACTGTGCAAATTCAGAAGATGGGGCTGAAAGTAATAACAGATTAATCCATACACGCAGGCAATGTGGTCAGGAGCCATCGCCCTCCCGACCAGGGAGGTGTTCCCAGCGTTCAGTCGATAGCTGCTCCCCATTTGCAAGGTCTCCCCTCAGCCCTGGTCAATGCTGAGCTTTCCCTTAGTGGTCCTGATCCCCCCCCTTATTGGTCCTGACCCCCAAGTTCCAGCACCGCACACTGCACAGGGGCTTCTGTACCTGGTTCTCTTGCCCCTAATGACCCCTTCACCTGGAATGATATGCCCGGCCCCTCGATTCCACCTAGTCCATAAAAACTAACTCAGGCCTTTACGTGAAACCTTTCCAGATCATTCTTGCTCACAAGCCTGTCACCCTGCTCCGAACTCACAATATTTCCCCCCTCTATCACCCACCCGACAACTAACCATCCTGCCCGGGGACAGTTCACATGTTGTTGACTCATTGGATTTTGTCTTTTCTCCTCACTAGATTTCAAGCTCCTCTGACATGCATTTCTGGGTGTTCTCCCAAACATCTTTGTAATACATTTTATGTAATATAGACGCAATAAGTATTTTTGATCAGTGAACCCTCCTTAGTGAACCCTCCTATCCCCTAGCCCTTCCCCTTCTAGTACTATACCGGACACTTGCAGCCTCTTAATACATCCCTGAATCCCGTGGAAAGGTGCCCCCCCATAAGTGTTCAGTGGAGAGGTACCTTGGGAGGCAATTCCTTTAAGTCACTTTTGGTATGGAAGGAGTTCTGGAGATAGTGGCACTGAATTCCAATGCTCAAAGTCATCATTACCCTGAAGATGTCCTAGAGCAGAATTAAGTGGGTCCCATCAGCTTTTTAATATTTAAAGTATGCTCGTGTAAGGAAGAGTGGGGTAAGGCAAAATAGAAGAGAAAGCAATAGAAGATTCAGTGTGGGGTGTGTGCTCATATTCTGGTAGTGTTGTGAGGTGGTTACTGAGCTATGGTCTTTCAGTTCAAACCTACCCTCCTGCTTTGTGTCGCTGGTGCTGGGACTGTACAAAGCACATTTCTCCCCTGTCGTCTGGCTACAGCGGGGCAGCCCTGGAGGAAGAGCAGGTGCTGGAGGAGAGGGAACAGGTTGCTCACTGCTGTCAGCATCACCCCAGCGATGGCCCTCTAGCCTGGTAGCAGTGTTTCCTGTCTCCAGGCTCTTATTACACGTCCAGAACCAGCCTCACCGTGCCTCCTCTCCCCCCACCCCAGGCTTACCAGTATCAGCCAGGCAGCACCCCACTTGGGAAGTCTGGGCCCCAGCCCCTCGGCAGCCATCCTTGCAGCCACTGCGTCCTTGCAGGGTTCTGATAATCCCAACCTCCTCTCCACTCTGATCTCCAGCCCCAAAGGTGGCAGCTGCTTTTTGCACTTAATATGTATGTTTTACTTCTGTGTTCCTTTTTCAGTTTTTCAGTCCTCGAACATCTGTTTAGTCAGTTCCCTATGCTCAGTTCTCTCTGTTGAAATCCTTGCTCCAGCTTCATGTTTCCTGCCTAAAGAACACTGACAAATTTGGATTGTGAAGTAAAATATATTTCCTACTGTGAACGTCAGTCCAAA